AAAAAAAAAAAAAATAGAGAATAAAAGCTGGGTGTAGTGGTGCATGCCTGTAATCCCAGCAGTTGGGAGGCTCACCAGGTTTATTACCATGAATTCAAGGCCAGTTTGGGCTACATCCTGAGTTCAAAGCTATCATGAGCTACATAGTGAGACTCTGTCTCAAAAAAAAAAGGAAGGAAGGAATAGAGAGTACAGTGATTTTTGTTGATAATTTTGAGTGTTTCTGCCATTGTTTCTGTGCTAGGATCTTTTTTAAAACTGACTTGTAAAGAAATTAAAAATACTTATTTCATATTGATACAATTTATCTATCTCTCTCTTTGTCTCCTATGTATGTATATAAATATATATGTGTTTGTTTATTTATTTTTTGGTTTTTTTGAGACAGGGACTCACTATGTAGCCCAGGCTGGCCTCAACCTCACAGGAATCCTGCCTCTGCCTCCTAACTGTTGGGATTACAGGGTGCACCACCATGCCAGGCCAAATTTGTCATTATTTAAAGCAGTACACATTCTTTTTTACAGGTAGTAAGAATTTAAAACATTGCTTAACATTTGCCATGGAGATTTTTTTTTTAATTTGGCCATCCTAAGGATTGAACCCAGGGCCTTTGCACTAAGCTACCTCCCCAATCGTTTTTATTTTGAGATAGTGACTCACTGTGTTACCCACGTTGGGCTTGGACTTGTGATCCTCTTGCCTCAGTCTCCTGGGGTGCTAGGATTACAGGTGTGTACCACAACATTCAGTTTAGTTTTGCTTTAATTTTAATGAAAACCCAATGCTAGTGCTGTATCAGTGATGAAAGTGTTATACTTTATTTATGCTTTTTTTTTTTTTTTTTTTTTTACTGTACTTGGGATTGAGTCCAGGGATATGCTGTATTACTGAGCTACACCACTAGCCCTTTTTATTTTACTTTTTTTTAAATTTTGGTGCATACCAGCAGTCCAGACTGGCCTTGAACTTGCAACCCTGAGATCTGTCCTGCCTTTGCCCCCCAATTAGCAGGCGTGTCCCACCACTTCCAACTGTAGCTTTCTTTATGGAGAAATTATCTTGACCATAATTTTGAATTCAGTGGCAATGAAAGATGACTACTTGCTCACCTAACTAGACAGTACTAGATTTTGAGAGATGCTAGTAGGAGATGGAAATTTTTTTGACTGATAATAGATTTATTTAGATTAGAGAGAGAAATTGACTTCTGCATGAAGTATTTGGCAGTGCTTAAGGAAAAATATTGTATAAGCAATCACCATTAAATTACAAGTAGATTAAGTAGGGCAGGTAGAACATTGCATTGTTATAGGCCCCAAGGTCATTTACAACAAGCAAATATGATTAATTCTAAAATCAGATTGTGGTTCAAGTGAACCTACAAGTGTCTGGCTGTGAGCAGTCCAGGTTATTCTCCGCTCAGACAGTTCTCAGTTTGACAGTATTTACTGAGCATTTATGTGGCTTAGAAGGAGAATATTGTCTGGTTGCTTGCATAAAAACCAAGGAGACTGGAGGCGTAAACTTCCACAGATCCGCTCCATCAGCGGCTAGAGTAGCTGGAGGCTCTCCGGGCGCTGGCGTCCCTCAGGTTTGTCCGCTCAGTGTGTAGCCTTTACTTGGAAAAGTCATGTGGAGTCATTGTTTCAGATTGGAAGGAGAGCTTAAGAACTGGGCAAACTCAGGGCAGGTAGCAGTTAAAGAGGAGCCTGCTGTTTTGGTGTCATTTCCTGAGTCAAAGGAGCTACTCGAGCGGTAGAACCCCCTAGAGGCAAAAGGAACACAAAAACGTAAATTACCTTGTAAATTGAAAGTGCACTTTACTTTGCCTAAGCGTTAAGTAGTTAGCTTTCGTGGTAGTTAATTCTGGGCCACCTAATGACTCTGTGTCTCATCCTATTGAATTTGTGTAACAGCTTTTAAGAGGTAGGTATTATTGCTCACACTGATGAAGAAACTGAGTTGTAACATTGCACTACTAAGAAGTAAGCAGACTTGGTATTCAAATTCGTATGTTTGATGCTAAACTGAACCACTGTGCTTTACTTTTGCTTTCTTTTTCAACTTAATGTGCCATTTCTAAGAGGAAATGGGATTTGAGAAAAATCCACCCAAAGCTTAGACACGTGGTAGTGACTAAGTGAATTGGTAGATCCTTTGTTTAAAAATTTTTAAGAGGCCGAGCATGGGTGGTGGCAGGCTCACGCCTGTAATCCCAGCTCTTGGGAGAGGCTGAGGCAGGAGTAACGTCTTGAGTTCAAGACCAGCCTGGGCTACAAAGTGAGCTCAAGGCCAACCTGAACTACATAATGAGACCCTGTCTCAAAAAGACAATCAATCAATCAGTCAATAAAATTTTAAAGAAATGTTTCAAATAATTATCACTTTTTTTTTAGCAGGGTCTTACTATGTAGTTCAGACTGACCTTAAACTCACTGTATAGCCAAGGCTGGCCTCAAACTCACAGTGATCCTTCTGCCTTAGCCTCCCAAGTGTTGGGATTACAGCTGTGTGCCACCTCACCCAGCCAGTTACCACCTTAGTGTTATAAATGTATAGTGATTGTAAGGTATATATTGGTTATTCATTCTCTGAAAGAAATGTAAGCTGGGCATGGTGATGCACACCTGTAATCCCAGCACTCCGGAGGCTGAGGCAGGAGGGTTGCCACAAGCTCAAGGCCAGCCTGGACTGCGTAGTGAAACCGTGTCTCAAAACATACACCAAAAAAAGAAAAAAGAAATTAGTGAATTATAGACTAGTAGCATCTAGCCTTAACCTTTTATTTTATTTTTAAACAGAAACATTGTTCCTTTCATCTTGAGAGATTACAAGGATCACAAAAGGTCACTACACAGATATCACAGGTTAGAGAGATTGTACCCTTTCCTGGATAAAGAACATAGATGCAACGGTACAGGCCTTAAGTAAAAGGGGTTGAAATTGCCTTTTTCTATGAGTTGGTCACATTTCTCCATACTCTAGTCCTTGTCAGGCGTGAAGTGACGTTGTCAGGTGCTGCGGTCAGCTGCTGTGTGTGAAGAAGAGTGGAGGGAGCTAGAGAAAGCGGGCGGCCGTGCCTGGCCGGCAAGCACGTTGGCATGTGGAAGCGAGTTGGTGCGGGGAGTCAGGAGACGCAGCGGGTTTTTGTGTAACACCACCTCTGCAGTTGCCATCGAACTAGTGAAATTGAAGTTTACATGAACAGAAATTAGGAAATACCATCAGGATAGTAGAACTAGGTATTTTCTGTTTATTTCTTTAGAAAGATAGTTTACCACTTTAAAATAACCTTTTTAAAATCTGCATTTAAATAGATCTCTTGCTTAGTTTAAAACTGTATGGCTCTTTAAATTTGTCTGTTAATTCTATAATTTGTTACTAAATGGTTCTTTAGTCCAAATTAATGGAGACCCGTGACTGGGCTTAGTGGTGCTCGCCTGGAATTTCTGCACCCTGGAAGGTGAGGCAGAGGGGCTTGCAAGCCACTTAGCAAGACCTTGTCTCAAAATAAAACACTTAAAAGGAGTGGGAGTGTAGCTGAGTCCTGGGTTCAGTCCCTAGTACCGCCCCCCCACGAAGATGACCCCAGACCTGTGTTGTTTCCTTGTTAGAAAATATGTATTGAATGTGTAATAGATAAGAATAAGTAGGTATAAGTGAATGAACAGACAGCCCTGTTAGAAGCACTTTTTTTTTGGTGTGTTAGATAGAGTCTCTGTGCAGTTCAGGCTGGCCTTGAGCTCACTTTGTAGCCCAGGCTGGTCTCGAACTCACAACAGTCCTCTTGCCTCAGCCTCCCAAGTGCTGGAATTACAGGCATGTGCCACCACGCCCGGCTAAGCACTTTGAAAATATTTGAAGTAAAAGTGACAGTCATAATCTTCAGGGGGTGCTTTAGATATAGTTGGAGTCTCCCTCTTTTCCTGGGCAAATTTAGATGTTCTCTAAACTCTTTCTGAATTTGCTTAGTTTTTTTGGAGGAAAGAAAAACTTTTCTCTTATCAGAAAAAGAATATTTCATTACTGGCTGTGGTGGTGCATGCTGCAGTCCCAGCACTGGAGAGGCTGAAACAGGAAGGTCTTACAGAGTTTGAGGCCAGCCTGGGCTACATAGTGAGACCCTGTCTCAGAAAAACAAACAAAAATGCTTCAAATTAGCTCTGGCATGTGACCTTTTGTAAAATTTGGGAACCATCTCATAAATTATTGCCTATAGTCTTCTTCAGTTAATTTTTCTCTGAAAGTTTGAAATTAAAGATGATTCCTTCTATTCCCAAATAATGAAATTACAGTTTTCTTTCTTGGTATATATTGGTTACCTTTGGTGGGTTTGCTTCAGGTTATTCCTTGGAATTTTTTATACTTTAATTTTTAAGCTTTCAGAGAAGTTGAGTAGATCTCTCGAATTAAGAATTTCAAGAAGCTTTATGAGAAAGTTTCAGGATTGAAATTCTGCCTGAAAGTCAACCTTCCCCCCTATTTTTGAGATTTGAGAGCTTGTACTGTAAGTAGTCACGATTTATTTAAAAATTCCAGCTAAGAATCACCTAATGCCCCCGCGTGTGTTTCGTTTGTTTGCATTTGACTTTGTAGTCACTGTTGCCAGCTTTGTGAAGATCAGAAATGCTGTGTCCTTCCTCTCGCAGTGATGTTTCCTTCCCTGTCGTTGGTGGCAGAGCATGAGCACGCGGAGGCAGAGGAGGAGGAGACTAGGGAGTTTGGGTTGTTAGGCCTTGCTGTTCCCTCTTCAGGAGAGAGTGATGAGTTACTGTGTGTAAGCAGATAGTTCTGAATGTACCAACATATCCTAGAGGCACTAATAGGATTAGATGTGCTCTTAAAGTACCGCAGACGCACTTACCAAATGTCTTTTCCCCCCTCCAGTTCTGTAGAAAATGTTCTCAAAACACTCGTGAAAAGCTGCCGACCGTAAGTAGTTTCTCATTTCGTAAATCGTTTTTGTTTCTGTGGCCTTTCTCTCTTTATTACTCCTTTCCTGCTTCAAGAGGAAATTAAAGAAATGAGCGTTTTCCCACATCGCAGTTAGTCACTGACATTTCACTCCTACCTCTTGAACTGGATTTTCATATATTGATTATAAATTTCAAACACTTGAAGCCACTCATTGTAAAATGAGAACATTATAACTTACATATAAACATTTTCATTTGAAAAGTTTTCCTGGAATATTATTGGTTATTCAGCTCAAAAGTACATTGTAGATTGCATTAAAATGTGAGGTATGATGGGAAGATGGTCTGTTTTTTCTGCCGTGTTCTCTTCAATTAGAATATTGAACTCTACATGTTCCATATTTTTGTCATTAAAATGAACGCGTCAGGCACTGTGGTGCATGCCTGTAACCTCAGCATATTGGTGTGGTAAGACAGGGTGGCACGTTTGAGCTCAGCCTGGGTGACGTAATGAGACCCTGTCTCAAAATTAAAAAAAAAGAAAGCTAGGGTTGTAGTTTAGTGCCAAGTACCTTGAGTTCAATCTCCAGTATAGACTTTAATTAAAGTCTAATTTTAGATACTTGAATTATTTTCTTGCTCTTGTGATGGGCTGGTCTAAGACTATGTCCCTGCTGCAAATGCAGTGAATGCTTTGAATAGAAGCCCTTTTCATCATACATTTGTAATGGGTTTTATTTACTCAGCATGTTACTTATTTATTTTTGTCTTTTTGAGACAGGCTCTCGCTGTGCAGTTCAGGCTGGCCTTGAGCTCACTTTCTAGCCCAGGCTGGTCTCAAACTTGCAAGAATCCCGTTACCTCAGCCTCCCAAGTGCTAGGATTACAGGCGTGCACCACCGTGCCTGGCTCAGTATGTTATTTAATAAATCAGAGACTTAATTACTGATCTGCTCTACCATTTAGTCTTGGACAAATGTGTTTTCAAGACACAAGGTGTTCCCTAACAAGAGGCTTACAATCTAACCTGAGTCATAAGCCACTGATGAGCAGTAATCATTTTGTGCTAGGCAGTTAAAACTCTTGGCCTGTGTTGGCTTACTGGAAACTTGATTGTCACCAGGTACTTTCTGGGATCATAAGTAATTCACAGAACTCCCAAGTTTTTATTTTGGGTTACTAGTTGATTTGGAAAAATTAGGAAGAGATTCTTGAAGGAATAACAAAATGTACTGGGTTTTGCTATTTTTATTTGTTTATGTTTGTCTTTCTGAGGCAGTGTCTCACTGTGCAGTTCAGGCTGGCCTTGAGCTCACTCTGTAGCCCAGGGTGGTCTCCAGCACACAGCCTCCTGAGTGCTGGGGTTACAGGTGTGCACCTCCCCCTAACCCCGCATTTTAAAATTTTTTTTTAAAAAGTTTTACTTATTGTTTTTGAGACAGGGTCTTGCTATGTGGTCCAGGCTGCTCTTGAACTTACTGTGTAGCCCAGGCTGGCTCAAATTTGGAGCGATCCTTCTGCCTCAGACCCCTGAGTGTGGGATTACAGACATGTGCCACCAGGCCCAGTTTCTGAATTTTTTTTTAATTTTTAAAAAATTTACCTTTCATTAGTACATATTTTTCATACATAATGATCACATTCATCATAGGAAATCTGTATACAATGTCTTAATTCTTTTATCTCATATCATTTTTTAAAAAAATTCCCACATAAGGAACTGGCTCAACAGAAATACTACTTGAAATGTAGTTTTATTTTTCACATAAAAGAAGAGTGAATTGCGATTTAAATTAACACTTCTTTAAAATAAGATTAATAAGCTATCATAATGGCCATACCTATAAATGGATTTCAAGGGTTTTCCCAGCTTCTTTGAGAAGAGTACATTTCTCAGATGCTGTTCCTTATTTTAAGTGTATCTAGAACGAATACATGTCTTCGTCAGCCATTTACCTTTATTTTGTGAGTGTGTACATACTTTCTGCCCCAGGGACCCTCCCGGCTGTGTCCCAGGGTTGCAGAAGAGTAGACCCTGTAGGACCAAGTGTGCTAGTCCAGTCCTGTGTGGTGTCTGGTGTACGGGAGGACTCTGTCCAGGGGGGCAGATGGTGCCCAGAGGTTGCTGGGCTCCTGCCCCCTCGCTCAGTCACTTACTATCCATTTCTTACGTAGAATGGATTCTTTTCTTATTTTTTTGTGGTACTGGAGATGGAACCCAGGACCTTGCAGTGTAGGCGAGTGCCGTAGCACTGACCTACAGCCCAGTTCTTTTTGCAGTTTTATTTTGAGACGGGGTCTTGTTTTATCTGGCCTTGAACTTGCAGTCCTTGTGCGCCAACCTCCTGAATACCTGGGACTTGCAAGCATATGCCACTACCTGGCTGGATTTTTTTTTTTTTTTTTTCGGTTTATATGCCATAGCAAAAAGGAGCAAAAACAACCAGTGCATTTAACTTTGTAGATGAGTTTTACATCATCGTCTAAACGAAGACTTCGTTTTTTATCTTTTTTTTTTGGTCTTTTTGAGACATGGTCTCGCTATGCAGTTTAGGTTGGCCTTGAACTCACTTTCTAGCCCAGGCTGGTCTGGAACTCCCAACAATCCTTTTGCCTCAGCCTCCCAAGTGCTGGGATTACAGGCATGTGCCACCATGCCCCGCCGGGGTTTTTTGTTTTTTTTTTTTGGTTTTTGGTTTGTTTATTTTTAATTTTAGTTTTATCAACCTCACAGCATATTTTAAAGTCTCTTAGACAAGAAAACTGACTTTATCCCAAGTATAACACGGTTTTTTTGTTTAGTTTTTTGAGGCAAGACCTTGTTAAGTAGTCCGGGCCGCCCCTGAACCTGTGATTCTCTATCTCAGCCTGCTGAGTGCTGGTGTTACAGGCATTGCTACCATATGTGGTCTGTTCACTTTTGTAAGAGTGAGTGCTTACGGTAGACAGAGCTAACGCTTGCAGTGTGTGATGCATGTTATGCATACCCGCCTTGTGGTGTGAGGGTTTGGACCCAGGGTCTCGCACCTGTTCTGCAAGTCGGGCCGCACCATGGGAGTTAAGCTTCTGGCCCCTTCTTCCTCCCTTATCACCAGGCTTCTGTTGGTGTCGTAGAATTTTTACCCAATAATCAGATACATGAAAACCTTTTTTTTTATTAGATACTTTCCAGCAGATGCAACAGCAGAAATGTTAGAAGAATGGCGGCCTTTAATGTGCCCTTTTGATGTAACAATGCAAAAGGCCATCACTTATTTTGAAATATTTCTTCCTACCTCCCTTCCTCCAGAACTTCATCATAAAGGGTTTAAGTAAGTACACGCGCATCTTGACAAATGCTAGAATGAAGCAGGAAGTACAGATATGAAACAAGTGGTAAAGGAAGAAGTTTTTTTAAAAAAAATTGGTAGCTTATTATATTTATTACACTTGAAATGTGTAAAGTTGAACATAAGTTTGTGAACAGAGAACAGTGCTTGTATGACAAGCTGAGTCAGAATGAGGGCGGGCTTCAGGCAAGAAAGAAAGGGGCAGTGTGAGGGATAGGCAGCAAAGGAGGACGCTCAGAGAAGCGGGGACAGGAAGGAGGGGATTTTAAACAGGCGTTGGGTGGGTGTGGGCAGTAGCAATGGAACGGTGCGATAGGTGTTGGCTAGATAAATAAATTCTGGCGTAAATAGATTGGAAAGGAAATACTGAAACCAGAAATACTTTCGTTCCACTAAGCTTGTAACTGCCAGTATTGTTATTTCTGGGTTGTATAACTGTCAGTAAGAATAGTAGATTTAGAAAGTACAAAGGGTCCCAGGCTGCGAGTCACTTTCTGTAGTCCCTTGCTATTCATAACAACGCTTTTCTTCTTCAGACTTTGGTTTGATGAACTAATTGGCCTTTGGGTTTCAGTGCAAAACCTCCCCCAATGGGAGGGGGTAAGTATGCCACTGTTTTCTGCAATACTTTTTAATTTGGAGATGAGGGGGTTATTTGATAAGTAACCGCAGTTACGTAGGATCGCTGTTAATGCTACGGTCATTTACCGTTTTCTAACAGTAGTATTTTGGTTTTATTAATGTCTGAATTCAAACATGTATCGTGAAACGCATGGGATACAAGATTTTTATTTGGTGCCCACGCTACATGGTGCAAGACACGTAGCAGATGTTCTTTACATATTTATCTGATTAAAATTTCCTTTTATGTTTTGCACTGTGGACGATGTCTTGTCACCTTCATTTTTTAGCAGCATTTCAGGTGTAGTTCACTTAAAGTTTTTAGCATGAGTCAGAATTTTAAGTTTGGAGATTCTGAAAAATCTAAACCAGAAGTTATATATATTAGCATTAAGTTGTGCTAGGAGGATCTCCATGAGCTTAAGCCTGAACTACATAGTGAGACCCTGTCTCAAAAACAGACAGAAAACCCCCCAAATATGTCTACTCAATTTTGTCTTTTTTTTTTTTCTACTTTCAGCAACTAGTAAATCTCTTTGCTCGATTGGCTACGGATAACATAGGGTACATTGATTGGGATCCGTATGTACCGAAGGTAATATAAAGCATTTCCACATGGTATACAACAACGCTAACATCAACATCAACTTTTTATCGTAGGCTTTTTGGATGCTAATGCCAGATGCCACAACATTTTTTGACTAATAGTAAAAGCATGTATAAATAATTTATAGAGATGGATCAGTTACTTTGAAAACATAACTCAACCCACGAGGTCTTACAAATGATCTTTTCTCATACTTGCAGGACGTGAACTGTCAATTGAGTGTGTAAATTATAAGTACTAAGTATATCATTAAGGGTGGCATATACATTCGTACCTTTCAGTAAAGTTTCGTATATTTGATTGCTACTCTAGAGTGACATATACTTTCATATCACAGTATGTTTTTCCACAGTAGATACAGCGGGGCTGTCTTCAGTGTTATTTCACCTGCAGTGGAGTTGCTCTTGGAGCTTTCCTAAGGCTTGTTGTAGACACCCACGCTCTGACGTCAGAGCAGGGCTGGAGCGGCCGGTAGCCGTGCTGACACTGCGCTCCTCTGCTGTTGGCTGACGGACACTACCTGAGGAGGGGAGGTCACCTTTTAATGTCTTGAGACCTCTCGGGAACGATAAACAGAAAATGTACATTTAATTACATTAAATACAATTACTGGCTAAAAGGGTGCAGTACTTCGGGGAAAATAGTATCAACGTTAAGATTTTTGAGATAGGAAGTAACCCAAAGAGATTTGGGTTTCGCCTGTTTGCCTCCTTGGCATGGAACAGGAACGTAGGAAAATCATTTACGTAGGGTAGAGAGGCAGAAAGGGTCAGAAAAGTTGTCTGGCTACAGTAGCTACATTTTGCCTTTTTATGTCTGGCTGTAGATAGCTCATTTGTCTCTTTTTAGATACGTGTGCACAGCTGCTTTACGTGCCTGTGACCCAAAATATCATATGTAAGTTGTAAAGAATTGAGCTAATGTGTAACTTTTAAAGAATCGTCGTTCTTATTTGTACATGTAATACAGTACATCATTTTTATATTTGACTTTTAAAGAATTAAGTTACTAAACGATTAGAATTTTGCTTGGTCTCCCATGACAAAATGAGAGTATGTTAAAAATACTAATATATGACGCTTACAAGTGAATGTTTCTTTTCTTCTTTCAAAAGATATTTACAAGAATTTTGAGAAGTCTGAACCTCCCAGTGGGAAGCAGTCAAGTATTAGTCCCGAGATTTCTCACGAATGCCTATGACATAGGGCACGCTGTAATATGGGTCACCGCCATGATGGTTTGTAACAGGTTTCATTTGTTCTATGTAGCTCAGCTCTGTTTTGCCTCAACTGCGCAAAAATCCAAGCCCCACCTTAGCGCCCCACCAACCTACCTGACCCTTGGAGTTTGCTTTCTTCACCTCCCCACTCCCCTGGCTCCCTGTCTTCCTCTTCCTTTTCCTCTTCTTCCTCTTCCTTTTCTTCTTCCTCTGTTGCTAGAGGTGGAACTCAGAGCCTCTCTCACATTTTTGGATATTTTCCAAGGTAGTATATTCGTGTTTATTGAATCCAGGTTGCAGTAATCTACCATTTATGAATCTTGCTAACCAATGAAACAAAAATAGAGTATAAACGTCTAACATTTTTTACAGACCAGAAGCAAGACTTGTATATGAAAGAATTTTCCCAAGATAGAATTAGAAGTCAGGGTTTTGCATATGCTTAGAAACTCCACAAAATATTATACAGAACACAGTGCTTCTCAACAGAGTTATCTGCAGCAAAGGAAAAAGTATGAAGGATTGATTTATGTTACCATTGAAGAAAAGAAAAAATATTTTAATGTCATCTTTTAAATACAGTATTAAAAATTTGCTTTGTAATTTTCTGGCTTATTTTTACAGTGGTGTTTAGTTTTTGCCTTGAGTTACTCTGCTTGACATTGTTGCTGTGGAAAAGGCATGATGATTTTTTAACTTTACAGCCAGAAATTCAAACTCCCTATGTTTTTGCTATTTCATTATGAAATAGAGTGGGAAATCCAATTTTTTTCTAATATCCAGTAAGAGCAAAAAAAAAAAAAAGTTAAATGTTTTCTGTCTTACATCGGCAGTAAGTTGAAATTTATTTTGTGGAACTGTAGAATTAGATAGTGAGCAACTTGATAGACGAAAACTACCCTTTTTCTCTTTTCCCCCAGCTTATGTTGTTTGGTTGTTTTGTGTTTATTTTTGCCAACAGATTAAAAACATAAAAGTTATTTCAAGTCAAAATGGGGCTAGGTGTGACATGGGTTTTTGTAGCTTTTGTTTTTTGAGACAGCTCACTCTGTAGTTTAGGCTGGCTTTGAACTCACTGTGTAGCCAGGTTATCGTCGAACTTGTGGTGATCCTCCTGCCTGAGCCTTCTAAGTGCTGGAATTACAGGCATGTACCACTGTGGCCAGCAGTGTAACAAGTTTGATCATTTAAAACATTTAGAAATAATCATCAAATGTCCAAATTCATTTATGTAAATTTCTCTCCATTTTAATGCAATGAGAAATTTACTTAGTCATTTAAGGAATGCTTACATACTATACTACCGTTCTTGGTCATTTAAGATGATACTCTTAGCAATATATTTAATATCCGTGATATTTGACTTCAGAACAGTTAAATACTATTGTTCTGACCTGAAAGATAACCTTTTTAATTTTATGATTTGACTCATGTAAGTTGCTCTTATTTTTAATAGAATGTCTTAAGTTGATTTCTTTTTTTTTTTTTTTTGGTTTTGTTTTTTTTTCTGGCATCGGGAATTGAACTCACGGCCTTGCACTTGTCAGGCAGGCGCTGTGCCGCTGAACAAATCCCCAGCCCCTTTAAGGTGATTTTTGTGAAGCTCACTGGGGAGTTATTTTTGACTCTTAAGGGTAGGATGAAGGTGAACCATGTTAGAGATCTGTGTATAGCTGTGGGTCTGCTGAGTCCTTCATTTTCATAGTGTGATGTAGGAACTGACACTCTACTCTTTTGTCTGGACAGGGTGGACCCAGTAAGCTAGTGCAGAAACATTTATCCGGTTTGTTTAACAGCATCACGTCGTTTTACCACCCTTCGAATAATGGGCGCTGGCTGGTGAGTGTGCTCTGCCTGTACTCTACTCGAAAATTTAAATTCAGGGTCGTGTTCAGCTGTTGCCCGTTGTGTAACCTGTAACATCTGCAGTGTATCGTAGAAGTTTTAGGGTTGTGTAAGTGATTAAATGCAAATTGAGGTACTGTTTGTAGAACATGCAGAAATAAGAATGCTGGTGTGGTAACTAGTGACAAAATGCTGCACTTGGCAACAAAACACTAACCCGAAATGGCACGCCTCGTACGTCACGGCGGTGAATGCCTGTAACCCTAGCACTTTGGAGGCCAAGGCTAGAAGATTGCCAAGAGTTCAAGACCAGCCTGGGCTCCACAGCGAATTCAGAGCCAGCCTGAGACTATAAGGCGAGCCCCTGTCTTGAAAAAAGACCACAAAAACATAGGATAGTCTCTTCTATTTCATAACAGTTCTTTTTCTTTTGTCAGTTAAAATTATTTTCATGTAATAGAAGATTTATGTGGTGCTAGAAACTTTTAAAACTGGAATTTGAAACTCATGTTCCTACGTGGTTACCAGTAATGAATTGGTAGCAGCTTTGTATTCTGTCGAGTGCTGTGTAGGACTTGGTATTTAGAGCTGTGATTTTTTAAAAGCCGTCTCATTTTATTGTATTCTTTACTTGGGGTTAGGGTGTTGCTCTCTAGTCCAGGCCGGCCTTGAGCTAGCCATGTGTCTCACACAGCAACTCGCCGCCCTCCGGCTTCAGCCTCCCACGTGGCGGCGTTGGACGTGTGTGCCCCCGCGCCCACGCTAGACTTCCTTTGTTAGCTGAGCAGAGAGGAGCCGTGAGTATCGCATGGGAAAGCGGAACCACCCAGAACTTTCTGTTTCTGTGTCTCCAGAGCAAGTTAATGAAACTACTTCAGAGGCTGCCAAACAGTGTTGTTAGAAGATTGCATCGTGAGAGATACAAGAAGCCCTCCTGGTTAACTCCTGTGCCTGATAGCCATAAGCTCACTGACGAGGATGTTACAGACTTTGTCCGATGCATCCTTCAGCCTGTCCTCTTGGCTATGTTTAGCAAAACTGGTAGTCTAGAAGCGGCCCAGGCTCTGCAGAATCTTGCACTCATGAGGCCTGAGTTAGTAATACCCCCTGTACTTGAAAGGTAAGTGCAGCCTTACACGTCTTAAGGAAGGTTGTTCTTGTTATGTGTTCCCTCTGTGTTCTTTTTGGTTCTTCTTTCCTTCTGTGTGGCATCTGTTCTACATTTTCAGTGCTGATGCCCGTTTTTAGAGAAGCAAAACCTTTCAGTTTGTTTGGAAACTTCATTAAGATTAGAGAGAAAACAGTTAAAATGCAGCAGATAACAAGGATTTTGGATTTTGGGATGTTTCTGGTTTTTGTTTTTTTTTTAGTCTTTTAAAGACAGGGTCTCACTATGCAGTTCAGGCTGGCCTTGAGCTCACTTTGTAGCCCAGGCTGGCCTCCATCTCACAGCCGTCCTCCTGCCTCAACCTCCCGAGTGCTGGGATTACAGGTGTGCACCACCATGCCCCGCCTGGACTTTGGATTTTTTGGACATAGCAGTTACCCAAGTTTTTGTACATAACTTAAGAGTATGTGGTAGTGAATTGGTGACACAGAAGAAAATTATATATTATACAATCTCAGTTTAATCTGTATTGCTTTTACAGTATAACTTTTATTGCACTTTGTTTTGTATGTTGAGAGCATATCTAGGGCCAGGGATATAGCTCGGTGGCATAAGCGCCTGCCTGGCCAACACAAGGTCCTGAGTTCAATTCCCGGTACCAAAAACAAAAAACAAACAGGAGAGCATATCTAAAATAGCTCTCTTCTAGCCTAGACACTGCAAAGGATAGTGAATCCTGAGACAGAGGCAGTTTTTTGAGTATTCAGGACCAGATTGCTTTAAGTTTTTGCTTTGTCTTTCTTATGTTGATGCCTGAATGTGAACCTTAACCTTTCTCTAAATGTCATTGTCAAAAGTTCTAGCAGTTTTTAGAGCCACGAAGAAACTAGCAGTTGAGTTTTATTTGTGCAAGGCTGTTAGTAGGACTACAGCCTGTTCCCGCCTCTCTCCAAAGGATAGGTGTTGTCCCCATTCACCTGGGGACAAGGGCGCCCTTCTAGCACGGAGAGCATCGTTCGGAGATGGAGTGGAGAAGTTGGTCTGCCCTCTTTTTCACCTTCCAGTACTCTTCCCTGCTTGGCCTCTGTTGGGTACCAGAAGCTGATAATGAGTACAGCTCCCTTGTGCTCCTTCGGGAGGAGAGACTTCAGCTGTTGGTACACCTAACATTTTGAAGTTGGGCATATTTTTAAATACTTCTTTAGTTCCCCTTTATTTTGTCTATCTCTGTAATTTTCTAGCTGATTAATTATGAATAGTAAAATAAATTGCTCTGCAGAAGGAGCAAAGCTTATAATCACCAAGAGCACATATCCAGCACTTGTCTCCTTCGTCCTCAGCTCCTGGACAGAGCGACATAGTGAATGATGTGTGCCTGATCAAGGCAGAAGGCTTTTTCCTTTCATAAGAGCAAAACTTTCTTAAAAACTTAAAATGTAGCCAGGCACAGTGGTACACACCTATAGTCCCAGCTGCTCAGAAGACAGAGGCAGGAGGATTCCTTGAGCCCAAGGATTTGAGGCCAGCCTAGATAAAATAGCAAGACCCTGTCTAAAATTAAAAGAAATTTAAGAATTAAAAATGTAGAAAAGAAATTTTCAGAGTTTTATATCTCCAAAAGATATTTAGTCTGATATATTTTCTTTCTTTTTTTTTTTTTTAACAATTTTTTACCCTATTTAAAATCCTCCCTTTTCTCACATAATATATGGTTAAATTTCTGCCTAAGTAGAATTTAAAATGACTACATTTTAGATTTTATTACCATCTATAAAATAGGGTCTTGGAAATGAAATCGCTGAGTCACAGTGAATGTTGTTGGCCCTTAGTTTAATGATATTTCTTATTCCCCACAGATTATTCAGACCAGTGTCACAAATGTTGTCATGGTTTATATAATTGATTTTCAGTTTTAAATAACAAGTTTGTCTTTTTTTTTTTCCTCTTTTTGAGACTGGGTCTCACTTTGCGTTTCAGACTGACTTTTTAAACTCAACATAGCTGAGGCTGGCGAACTCACAGTGATCTTCCTGCGTCAGCCTCCCAAGTCCCGGGATTATAGTTGTGTGCTAACATGCCTGGCTACAAGTTTTTTTTGTTTTGTTTTTGTTTTTTGTACTGGGAATCGAACTCAGGACTTCAAGCCTGCCAGGCAGGTGTGCCTCTGAGCCATATCTCCAGCCCTACAAGTCTTTTTTTTTTTTTTTTAAATTATAAAATGAGATAAATTTCAGTTTTATTTTTTGTCTTTGACAGGGTCTCACTCTGCAGTTCAAGCTGGCCTTGAACTCATTTTGTAGCCCAACCCCTAGCAATCCTGCCTCAGCCTCCTCAGTGCTGGGATTACAGGTGTGTACCACCAGACCCTGCTCTCAATTTGTTTTTCTATAAAAAGGACAAGAAGAGTACTTTTTTTATATTTAGTTTTGTTTTGAAGAGTACTTGTAATTCGTTATTCCTGAGTCCTGATAGTCCCTGTGCCATTAGATTAGTTTAATATGGATTGGATTAAAATGGCTAAAACAGGAAGGTGTAGTGGTGGCACATGCCTGCAAAGCCAGCACTTGGGAAGCCGAGGCAGGAGGATTGCTGCACAGTGAGTGCAAACTAGTCTGAATTTCAGAGCAAGACCCCGTCCAAAGAAAAAAAAGGCTGAGAAGCAAAGCAGAGTCTACTGGCTTATGCTCATTTTCACTGGGATTTACAAAGAGACAGGTCATAAGGTAAGGAATGGGAGAGACATGCAGCATTCTGTGCTTTTTTGTCTTTTGGCCCTGGGAACTGAACTCAAGACCTTGTGCTTGTCAGGCAGGCACTTGTGCTACTGAACTATAACCCCAGCCCCTAGCATTCTGTATCTTACCTGAGTAATTCTGTTAACTTTGGTAGCAGATCTTCTGCTTTTATCCGTTCAGTCAAACTACACTACATGGACTTAGTATAGTTCACATTTAACACTGTAAAATTCTCTTTCCAAACTGTAGAACATATCCAGCGCTAGAGACATTAACAGAACCTCACCAGCTCACGGCTACTCTGAGCTGTGTAATTGGAGTCGCCCGAAGTCTGGTATCAGGAGGCAGGTGGTTTCCTGAAGGTCCAACACACATGCTACCTCTGCTGATGAGAGCATTGCCTGGGGTGGATCCAAATGACTTTAGTAAATGCATGGTGAGCATGTGGATGGTTTTTTCTATACTTGTTATAATTGTAGAAGTGTACATCTTTGAAATTTCTTTCAAACACCTTTTAGAGCACAGTTTAATAAAAATCTGTTAATGATGACACAGGTGCGCATAAACGGGTAACCCTAACTTGTGGACAAGTCACCTGTGGAATGCCTTTAAAAAGCAATCTGCTGTAACCTGTGTGTATTAAAATCTCGTTGCTGTGCCAGCCTTGAACCTAGGGCCTTGTAACTGTTAGGCAGGCACGGACCCACTGAGCTAGATCCCGCATCCGGGTTCTGTGAGGTTTTAGATCTCACTGTATAATTACTGTTGTTCTTGGCAGTGAGGAGCTGTGATGAAAAGCTACATAATACAAAATGCCAGCTGCCGCGTGGCCACATCTCCTGGTGAACCCCTTCGCTCCGCGCCCTCTTCCCTGTGCTCCAGCCTCTGCCTTCGCTTCCTACTTGCCCTTCATTAACCCTACATGGTTCAGTGGGAGACAAAGAAACTTCTCACTGACAAAAGACTGGAGGGTTTTTTTTGTAACTTCATTACTAAAGTAGCACTTAATTTTCAGAACCTTAAAATGTTCAATTCTAAGTGAAAAATACACAGATTGTGAGATTTTCCTCAACATAATTTATTTGGGTAATTTAGCTTGTTTTGAATTTGTAATTCATGTTGAAAATTGTGTGTTCCCACAGATCACATTCCAGTTTATAGCAACATTTTCTACTCTGGTGCCTTTAGTAGATTGTTCATCTGTACTACAAGAAAGAGATGACCTCACTGAAGTAAGGATGCTTTCTGGTTAGAGAGGGTTAACCGAGAGCTCTAACTCTCCCTACACGCATAGCAGTGTTTGACAGTTTAAAATAACAGTGGGTGGGCAACGTGAAATTACTGTTCTGCAGCTAAATGGTATAGATGGTGAAGTAGTCTGCATAGCTGTCACCTGGAGGTGTTTTTCAGTTCATGACTTACTTTGATTCCTAAGAAAGTACTAGATTAAATTGTTCCAAATCGGCATGTGATTATGGTCTTATTTCTTATAGTATCCACGGTAATCATTTACTGTTAAATCTCTTCGGTAGGCATAATTGAGTGTTGTTAGTGTAGAGAAAATAGTCAAAAGCTATGTGTAACTTTTCTTTATACTGGCGTGTTGTAGGTGGAGCGAGAGCTTTGTTCAGCCACAGCTGAATTTGAGGATTTCGTCTTACAGTTTATGGACAGGTGAGCTGGAGGCTCAGATCTGTCCTTTCTCTTGTGTTCAAGAAAAGGATCAAAATAAAATAAAGGGATTGTCCCATCCTAAAAACCTTAGTTTCTCTTTGCATTTTAACCCTTCTTGAGCTGCTGTAAAGTTAAAAACAGAAAATTTGTCTGTGAGCCATGTGCAAATTAAGTAGCTGTCATTTGAACTGTCATGGTAATAGAGGCTTATCTGATCATTAAACCAGTTATTTGTGGCTAAAATTACACTTTGTTTGGATTATCTAGATGCTTTGGACTTATAGAAAGTAGCACGTTAGAGCAAACAAGAGAAGAGACGGAAACTGAGAAGATGACTCACCTGGAGAGTCTGGTGGAGCTGGGTCTGTCCTCTACATTTAGTACAATCCTTACACAGTGTTCCAGAGAGATATTTATGGTAAGAGAACGTTGCTGCAGAAGTATTAACCTCTGACGTTTTAGTTGTATTTGGTGTTTTAATATTTAACTTGTTTCTTTGTGTGCATAGCATGCTTAAGTGAGGTCTAATCTTCATCAGCATAAAAGAGTTGTACTGTGCTAAGTGGAAACGTATATATGTTAAATAAAGTGCAACAGATAGGAATTACATAGCTGTTGACTGAGCTCAGTGTTAATGAACAGACCGTATGTATTAAGTCAGTGTCTGTAATGAGACACACTTAAAACAGAATTATGTATCAGTGGGTGGTTGGCAGTGTGACCAGATGCTCACAGTGATCTAACCCTGTATCTCCCTTAGAAACCGGGGTCTTAGCATTTGCTAGTTCAGCACTCACAGCGGCTTTGTAGGCCATGAGTGCCGCATGAGTAATAAGAAGCGGGCCTCTAAGAGAGAAGTTTGAGAAGTTTCTGTGCAGTTACAAGGCGGAAATTAAACACTAAGTGTAATGATCTAGCAAAAGCTGTCCTCCAAGGCATTTGATTAAACATTCCCTTATTTGATACTAGCTGGTGCTCACATGCAGTGAGGTCTTTAAGACTGCTCTTCATTTTCAGTTCTTCTCCCTTTATCTGAGGTTATCACCATGTAACAGTGTTCATCCTGACTGAAGGATATGCTGCGTTATAACTATATAAAATAGGATAACTACCAAGATTAAAGAGCAAGGAATTTTTTTCTTTTGTTACTAGGAATCAAACTCAGGACCTTGTGCTTGCCAGGCAGGCACTGTGCCATTGAGCTATATCTCAAGCCCTTACTAAAATGAAAGAAATGAACATAAATCATCTCTTGTTCAACAGAAAGGTGTTGTTTATAGTTTCAGCGTGGTTAATCCAAATTTAGAACTCATTTCTTCATTTAGCAAGCAAGTTAAAATTCTGTAATGACTGTAAAATTAAATAGAGTGCTTCAAGTCTTTTAAGAGTATACATTTTTATAAAGGTTTGTAGTTGCTAGACTAACAAGTTGTAAATATTAGATACTCTAAAAATTTCTGTTTGTTATTTTGGACTAATTATCGAGGTAATTTAATTGCATTTGCTTCCAGCAGCTACAATTTTGTATGGCAGATTTCTGTAGAAAGTAAAATTTAATTTAGCTTTAGTTCTTTCTGGTTTTAAACTGTAGTGTATCTTGATTTATGTTTAGAAATTAAAACGTATTTTGCTAATTGCATTAAAGAATATAAAGCTATAATAATTTTACATATTTATATATATTTTGTTCTGGAATCTTTTTAAAGTTGAAAAAAAAGAAAGTGAAATCTTACTCCTCATGTGTTCAAGGTAGAATCATCTGCAAATGTTACTCTTATACCTGAATGTGACATCATTAAGCAAATCCTCATAAAGTCAGCTGGTCAAAAATTGCCTCCTTGGATATTCTTTATATAATTTGAGTGTATCTGTCATTTTCTTTCATGTTGCATGTTTAATTTTCTAAAAATAGCAATTGGACACTTTCTTTTTTACCCTAACAGGTGGCCCTTCAGAAAGTTTTTAATTTTTCTATTTCACATATATTTGAAACAAGAGTAGCAGGCCGCATGGTAGCAGATATGTGTCGTGCTGCTGTAAAGGTGAGTTTAATTTTTGGAACTGATAAATTAATGACTCAACAACTAGCAGGTTTAGGGAGTTAATTATTCCAGAATTGCTTGATAAACTTAAAATACATCATTGTTTCAGTAGCTGCTTGCAACTTTTATTTGCCACTAAAGCACCGGTAGTGTAATTTTGTGACTGAAGTATTTGTTTTCAACTTATTTGTACAAATACGTTTTTAGTGCTGCCCAGAGGAGTCGCTGAAGCTGTTTGTCCCGCACTGCTGCAGTGTTATAACCCAGCTTACAACGAGTAAGTCAGAAGTAAGATCGGTATCCTGTCTTTACAATTTTAGTGTTTCTTAGAGCTATACAGCATTTTATTTTTTATTTTTGGGAAGGAATCCCCTCCAACATACCCAAATTGGCAGAGAGTGTAGAAATTTTTACTTAATATTTTCATGCAACAGTTAATAGAAGTTACTTTAAAAATATCAATTACGTTGTGAGTCTTGGTTTGTTTGTTTTTTGTTTATTTTTTGGGTGCTGGGAATCGAAGTCAGGACCTTGAGCTTGCCAGGCAGGCACTTGTGCTGCTGAGCTATATATCCTCTGCAGTTTATATTTTTTGAAAATTGTTTTACTTCCTTTTGGAACAAGTTCACCTTCCTGGAGAAGAAATTAAAAGTATCCCTGAAAGCAAATTTTCTCAGTTACTAGAAATATTAAGCAGAAATATTTTCTAAATGATGTGTTTACTTGGATATGTGATTTTTTTTCTTTTCCTCCGGGTACTGTTTTGCCATTTCTAGATGAGGATGTACTGAATGATGAGGAACTAGACAAGGAGTTACTGTGGAGCCTTCAGCTTTTGTCTGAGGTACGGTAAGCCTTTGGAGACAAATATTACTCTGAGAATGTAACTTGGTTTTGGAATTTAGCCTTTCTGACAACTACTTTTCTATTTAAAATCTGGCCATTGATCAAACTTGAGTTTCCTTTATGAGACAGTTCAGAAATGTAAGTAAATTTTGTCTCTTTAAGGAGTTACGTCCTTTTCAAAGGATGTAACCTTGACTTATGGAACCTTAAACTCAAAAGTTAGATTTTTTTGTTTTGCTTTTACTACGTTAGTGGCCAAACGTTGAATTTTACATTAATTATTGATTCTTAATCTTTTAACGACAATGTTTTGAACTTTTTATCCTGTTTAGATTACTCGAGTGGATGGGAAGAAGTTGCTTCTTTATAGGGAGCAGCTTGTAAAGATTCTCCAAAGAACCCTACATCTAACCTGTAAGCAGGGTTACACTCTGTCTTGTAACCTTTTGCATCATCTTCTTCGTTCTACTACACTTATCTACCCTACAGAGTACTGCAGTGTGCCAGGTGGCTTTGATAAGCCTCCTTCTGAATACTTTCCTATCAAGGCAAGCATTTTAAATAATTTAGGATTGAAGAATGTACTGGGTTCTTTTTCTAAGGGATTCAAAGTATTTGGGTGTGCATGAATGTGAATAAAGATGTTAGTTTTTTAAAAATAGATTATTAAAACTTACTGGTATGTATTAAACTCAGGCCATCTCACTTTGCATGGAGCTAATGCTTCTGTTTTCTGTATATGCCATGTCTTACCTGCATAGTTCTATGGAATTTTATTGTGAAACTACCTCTCTCTCTTTTTTTTTTTTTTGTGTGTCTTTGAGACAGGGTCTCGCTGTGCCGTTCAGTCTGGCCTTGAGTTCACTTTGTAGCTCTGGCTGGTCTCAAACTCGCAGTGATCCTCCTGCCTCAGCCTAACGGAAATTTTATACCTCTTTTTTTTTTTTTTTTT